ATTCTCGTTTATTTTTTTTTTTTTTTTTTTTATACTTGATTTTTATTTCAAATTTAGTAAATACTTTGGATATAACATTAAGGCAATTATTGTTTAGTTTATTTTTTTGCATAACATATATTTGTTTCAAAATTTTCAGATTTTTTTTTTTTTTGGGGGGGGGGGGGCGCGGCCGCGTTCGGCGGAATGGCCGAACACATCGAGAGAGGGTGCGGAACATTCGAGCGTTCGGGCTCAGGCGTTCGACCCATTCCAAACACCAGCAACCCTGCTTACAATAAATTAGTTGATTTTAAAAAATATTTATAATTATAAACAAATATTATATATATACAGGGTTACCAGCCCATACGTACGGAGGTCCCCGAGCAGACCTCCGTACGTACGGGCGTTCAGGGTCCCGTACGGGGTCCGAACCCAATGGCGTTCTGCCCCCGCCAAAAATTATTTCGGGCCTAAAAATATATATTTGTTTTTGAAGTTTTTTTTGTTAGTTCTCTATGACGTGAGGTACACGCCTATAAATTTTCAAGTCATCTGGCTCAGCCAAATAAGAATAAAAAATCGCCAAAGATGGCGGTGTCAAAACGTGCTTGCCCACGTTTTTTTTTACTTTTTTTTTTTTTTCACTTTAGTTCGAGGTCTAAAAAATTTTATTATTTTTTGAATTTTTTTTGCGTCTTTTGCATTATGTGAAGTTCACATATGTAAATTTTCAGGACATTTAGCTATTAAAAAAAAAAAAAAAAAATCGCCAAAGATGGCGGTGTCGAAAACGTGCTCGTGAACTCACTAAATTTAATTCTTTTTTTATTTTTTGTTAATTTTATTATTAGTATTTTTTTTTTTATATTTTATTTTTATTTCAAATTTGGCAAGGAATTTGGATATAATGCTCAGGCAAATCTTCTTTAGTTTATTTTTCTTCATAACGTATCTTTTTTTCAGATTTTTTATTTTATTTTATTTATTTTATCTTTTTTGTCATCGTTCGGCCCAAACGGCCGAACGCATCCCCAAGGGGTCCATTACGTTTGGGCGTTCGGTCCGTCCCGAACGCTGGTTACCCTGTATATATATATATATACATATATAGGGTTGCCGGCGTTCAGGATGGGCCGAACGCCCGAACCCGAATGCCCGAACGTACGGGACCCCTTCGGAAGGCGTTCGGCCGTTCGGGCTGAACATGAACCAAAAAAA